GTGATCTGCCTTAGCTCAGAACTCACACTACCATCCCAACCTGCTCCCCTTGCCAGAGCTCTCTGGTAAAGGGGCATCATGTGCTGGGACACTTCCCTGCCTAAAGCAAGGGACCCTATGCCACTCTCTGGATCTAGGACTCAGTGGCTGAGGTGTCAGAGCCTCCAGACCCACAGACCCAGCCTTTCCAGCATTATGCAAAGGAAAGTGCTTCTCAGAAGCCAATGACTAAGCCAGCCCAGGGATTCCTTTCATGGTGACAATTGTTGGGTCAAGAAGGAACCCCAGAGCTGAGCCTCACACAGGGCTAGGAGCCCAGGCCTCCTGCCTTTTTCACTTGGAAGTCAATTTTACATAACCCCATAAGGTATAAAGCCCCATGGACCCCACAAGTCTTTTAAATAATTTCTCTTCCCTTGAATAAAATCATCAGCAACAATAGGAGAAGCAAAGTCATTAGAAACAGAACGAATGTCATTTCTCTGAGGATGGGTGGTGAATTTGCATGCTGGTGTTCTTTCTACATTCAGTCTATCGCCTCAGTTAAATACTTATTGATGATTTATCGACGGAAAGTTCTTGAATGCTAGCAATGTGCTCATTTCTGTAAAGAGTTTTAAGTACAAGGAAGAGATTTATGTTTAAACTTTAAAAGTTTTAAGAGTTTAAGTAAAAGGCTTTACAAGACACACATGAAATAGCAACAACGCCTCGTGTAAAAAGTTGCAAGTAAGTGAAATTTCTGCCAACTCAGCAGCTCCTCGCCTGCGGACAGCAGCACTCACGTCAAGTTGCCCAGAGCCATCCCTCCTGTTTGCCTTCTCCATCCCTACTCTGGTCTCCCCGAAGCAGTTTGGAGAAGGCTCTCTACTGCCAGTGCCATGATAAAAACGACAGTGTACTTGTCAAGGGCACGATCTTGGGGTGCTCCCAAAGCTCTAAACCTTGAACTGCAAAAGGAGGTGCCATTTATTTGCAGAAGTGGCACGAATGCTCTCCTTCCCAACTCCGCTTTTTCACTTGGGTCTCAGATCAGCTTGTTTGGGGCCTTATCTCCCCTGATCTGTTATTCTACTTAGTGGCCCTCACCTCCCTTCCCTTGCCCATATTGGCTTTTCAAATACAGTCCAAACGGGGAACCCTTCTCCTTTATCTTCTCTCTCTTCCCAGCCCTCATGATCCATCACTTCTTTTCTCTACATTGTAATGGGAAAAAGAGCTTTTTGTCTATCGATAATTGCAAACAGAAGGGGATGTATGTGTGCGTGTGTGCACGTGTGTGCACATGTGTGCCCATGTGTGCATACCCAAAGCGATATTCTCACCAGCTGTTAACAGCTCTAACCAGTCAGAGGCCATCATCAGAAAGGTTTCATGGAGACAGGAAGCTCTCAGGAAGATCTCTACCTTACACAATGGGGAAGATAATTGTGCGTCAAAGTGAAAGGGTAAAGAAAGGTTACTTGCAGCAAAAGAACCAACAAAATTAAGACACAGAAGCATACCTGAGTAGGGTTTGTCTAGTGGAACAGTGAGAATAGTTAGAATTGGACAGAAGTTGCAGCAGAAGGAAGCTGTGCAACATAAGAGTGGCAGATGGGACAAACATGACCCTTGGAAGACAAGGGGCTGAGAAGATTCTCTGTGTTCCTCATCTATGGAGCTCTCTGAGGTTTTTGAGCAGATCGTGGCAGGATGACAGTGGTATTCACAATTTGCAAGGGAGTTGGATCCAGCCAGGGAGTGTGCAACGTGTACTGAATGAGGGAAGAGCGTGTCAGTGAGTCGTCAAGGAGGGAAGAGTCTCAGAGAGAAATACCCAGACTGGACAGAAGTGCGAGGCATTCCGGTGAACCAGGACACTCTCCTCCTGCGACGTGGCCACTTGATTGGATTTTCCTTGACCGTGGACTACATTTTTAAGAAAACTTCTATTCCAGAATGAGTTCAAACTGGTTTTGGGCCCTTTCTGCACCTACAGTCTATCCTGTCACTTGATTTTTCTAGCTGTGTAACATTCACTTCCTTAAGAAGTCTCTCCCAGGTCTGCCTCCAGAACTGCCAGTTTTGTCTGTGTTCTCTGTTCCTACCTCTTTTCTGTGAGTCTTGATTTTGCCATCTGTGTGTCCCCTTGGATAGGACAATCCTGTGTTCACTGTTGCCTGTCTTACCCTCTTTGGGATAATGATGGGAGGAACTTTTTGCCCATCTCTGGAGCATCACTGCCCCCAGTCCTGCCTCCCGGGCTTCTTTGCCTCTGCTCTTCCATCAGCTTTTCCCCCAACCTAGAAGAAGGAAGGGAAAGAAAATATTTTACTGGAAACTCCAAGGTTTGTGAATGATAAACTAAGAATGAAAGCCATTCTCTACAGCAGAAAATGATACCAGATCCCTGAAATGTAATCTCTTTTTGTAGCAGGACTCTGATCCATGTTCTTCACCCTTATTACCAAAAGACACTTAGGTGTCATAGGTGGTCTGAAACACTCCTTCCAGTGTGGAACTTAAGGAATCTCATGGAGTCCGGGCCAGCTGTCTGAAAGGTTGCAATGTCACCCTTTTCAGCTCAGAACCATAATTCCTTGTGCCCAGGTAATAATTCAAAATTTAGGATACAAAGCCAGAGCTGATCTCTAACTGAAATCAAGAGTAGATGTAATAACCAAAAAACAAATGGTTCTGACAAGCATAGCTTTTTTCTGAGCATGACTCAAAGGCATCTGGCGGAAAATGAAGAAGGATCCCAGCAGATCTTAGGTCTAAATGAAGGGAGATCCCCTCAGCTGGGGGATGTAAGTGTTTTAATATTATGTGGGCAGCTCTGCTTTGAACACATCTCTGGATGCACTTACACCATCCAAAGCCTTCTGGTGCAGAAGCAGATCTCCTAGATTCCAGTATTTTTTTTCCTGATCCCAGCTGAAAACAGCCACAGAAAAGCATCCCTTTTTGAAGGATGGAGAATGTCCCTGGAAGAGAAGAGACAGCCCATAGAACAGGTTGTAATTCTACAGGCATGTAAAGGGCATTCATTTTGAAGAAGACATTCAATTCAGGAATGGCAATTACTCAAGGAAAGTGACAAATACCAGCTTTAACAAGTACTGTTCACCTGTCACTACATTTTCAAGTCAAGTTGGTGTATCCGTTTGCCAGGGCTGAGTGGCTTAAACAAAAGATGGGACAAAGATGACCCTTGGAAGACAAGTGTCTCAGAGCTCTGGAGACTGCAAGTCCGAGATCAGAGAGCCAGCAGAGTTGGTTTTCCTCGGAGGCCTCTCTCCTTGGCTTGCCGATGACTGCTGTGTTCTCACGTTGCGGTATCTCTGTGCACACATTCCCCTGGGGGCCCTCTGTGTGTCCAAGTTCCCTCTCCTTATAAGAGCACCAGTCATATTGGATCAGAGCCCACCCTATCAGCCTCATTTCAACTTACCTCTTTAGAGGTCCTATCTCCAAATTCACTCACATTCTGAGTACTGCGGGTAAGGCCTTCAGCATATGACTTTTGTGGGGGCACAGGCAGCCCCTAATAGGTGGCCTAAGAGAATCTTTGTTTGAATGCTAATAATCATGATACCTAACATGTTCTGAGCGTGGCTTACTAGGTGACAGAGACTGTTCTAGGTACTTTGCATGTATTATCAGACCTATTATTCACGATTATAGATTATATAGCTTATAGATCAATTATAGATGACTACCATCTTCTCTGAAGACTTGCTTTGTGTAATTATGTGACCATAGTGAACGCTGTGCCCTGGTCCCTGACCTTGGATACCTGTGATTCCATATGACGTGGAATAATGGGAGGCTGTTATCTTCATGTTCTGATTGGTAGCAGATCTCCAAAGGTGCAAGGTGTTGTTGTTTTGAGACTAGTCACCCAGGTTGAATGCAGTGGCATGATCACGGCTCACTGCAGCCTCGACTTCCTGGGCTCAAGTGATCCTCCCACCTCAGCCTCCCAGGTAGCTGGGCACATGTCACCAGGACTAGCTAATTTTTTTTTTTTTGGTAGAAAAAGCCACATTGCCCAGGCTGGTCTAGAACTCTTGGACTCAAGAGATTCTCCCACCTCAGCCTCCCAAAATGCTGGGATCATAGGCATGAGCCACCATGCCTGGCCAAGGGTTCCTTTCTTAATCCATGATCTCCCAAAGTCACACCCAAGTCAGTGATGGGATAATATGAGTTATCCCCAACAACCTCTTTCGGAGGATCTTGCCTTGGCTGGCACTTCACGTGTCTGAGATTCCTCCTTCGTCCTTTGGCTGGCTGAGTCATCAACACTGAGATCTATAGGACACACCAGCACCTTCCGGAGAACCCTCAGCAAACCACTGAGAATTTTGTACAGGCTAGACCCCCAGAACAGATCTTCTCACTTAATCCACCTACCGACTCTGTGCTGACGCTATTTTTATTCCTGTTACAAATAAGGAACCTGAAACTGGCCTGGCCACAGCCCTGGGCTCCACCCTTCCCTGTGTGACCTTGAGCAGAACACCTAACCCCTCTGGATGGACCTCACTGGCCTCGCCTGGAAGATAAATGCTTGATCTCATCTCCCCTCATTGCTGATGACTTCACTCAGCTCATAAGAGGCATCTCTGTTTATCCCTGGAAGAATCTAACATTCACAAGCCACCACAATACTACATTTCATGCATGGTCACCACTATTCTTGACCTCCCTATCCCCACCCTCCTTTTCGGGGGGTCCCAGCCTACAGAACCAATAAATGAACCCACTCTCATGAGCCCTCCATCCCCACTCTACTGCCCAAAGTCCCTCCTCACGCAGGTAACCTGCAAACACCCATCAGGTTTGCATGAGGGCAAACCTGTCCCCTGCAGTGTGAGTCAAACAGGAACTTCCAGACAAGCTGTCCTGGGCAGCCCTGGGACCGTGCCAGCTCAAAGCAAGAGTGCCACTGAGTGCCACTTGCTTGGGTGAAGGATGACCATGGGCTTTCTGTCTCTTCTCTGGCCTTGCAGGAGGCTCTGTCGGTGGTGAGCGACGACCAGTCCCTCTTTGACTCAGCGTACGGCGCGGCGGCCCATCTCCCCAAGGCCGACATGACCGCCTCGGGGAGTCCTGACTACGGGCAGCCCCACAAGATCAACCCCCTCCCACCGCAGCAGGAGTGGATCAACCAGCCAGTGAGGGTCAACGTCAAGCGGGAGTATGACCACATGAATGGATCCAGGTAAGCTCGCCAGGCCTGTGCAGGACTGGGCGAAGGTGCAAAGTCGCCAAATCTGCAGCAAGCGGCTTCTGGTTCTTAGGGTTTTTGCAGCAGATGGGGCTCTGGAGCTGGGCCAAGAAGTCTGTGTCAGTCGGTAGAGAGCTGAGGCAGAGAGGGCCGCAGAGCTGAAGATGGGTGGAGCAGGGCCAGGAAGCACACCTGGCTCTCTGGGGCCCATGCAGCCCTCAGAGGCCCATGCAGCCCTCAGAGGCCAGGTGAGAGTCAGGCCCCAAGAGCCTATGCAGACGCTCGTGGGACACTTATTTCTTGTTAGTCACAGGCCTGGATCCAGTCCTCTTGAGGACAGCTTAGCAATAAACTACTCTTCCCTGTTGAAGATACTTAACCTCTGTGGGCAGGTCTCAGCAGAGCAAAGGTGATCAAACCACTCTTTAGTAACAGTGGAGAAGTGATGAGGAAGGTAGAAACCTGTGTGGGCGCACTGTGTCCGGCAGCGGGCAGGCACCTTGAAGGTGTGCGTGAAGGAGGTACAGTGCTGGGTAGGTTCAGGCTTTGCCTGTAGAAATGGAGACAGGAGGGTCCAGGGAGAGAAACTCACAAGGTCATGGAAGAGGACGGTGGACAGGCAGCCTGGGTTTCAAGTCCTGCCTCCGCCCCTTTGGCAAGTCATCAAAATCCCTCAGAGCACCAGCTTCCTCCTTTGTTGAGCAGGACTGGGATGTTCACTTCCTCACGGCTCCTTACTCTAGTGTTACTCTGATGCTGCAGGGCAAGGAGCCGGGATGGTGCCTGAGATGATTAGGTAAGTGCTCTGTAGTCTGTCATCCTTGCGAACAGACTTGAAAGAAAGAGAACATCAGTCTCATTCACAAAATATCAGGTAATCTACAGGGCCAAAGGCACAAGGAGATGAAAATAAAAAGAAAGAGAGGGCCTTGAATGGGAACTTGAAAGCACATGCTGTTTATTCCACAGCCAGAGGCTGACTGTGGGCACAGATGTGACACTTAACCTCATCAGGGCAGTGACTTAAGACTAGTGAGCTGTCAATCATTGTACACAGAGGGCAGGATGGGAGAGTCAGAAAGACAAGTGAAGAAGTTAGTAAAATATCCCATAGAAAATAATGAAGTTCTGCCAGGCGTGGTGGCTCACGCCTGTAATCCAAGCACTTTGGAGGTCAAGGCAGGCGGATCACCTGAGGTCGGGAGTTCAAGACCAGCCTGACCAACACGGTGAAACCCCATCTTTAAAAAAAAATAAAATAAAATAAAAAAAGAAAATAATGAAGTTCTGAACCAAGTGATGGTAATGATTATGGAAACTGAAAAGGACGGATACATAAGGAAGATAGCAAAAAGATGATTGACAGGGCTTAGGTGAATAAAGTTGAATGAAGCAGGTACATGGCAGGAAAGATTCAAAGGCGACTGAAGCCTGGGCGTTTTAAAGGATGGTGCTGGGGGCAGCCATAGAAAGGTGGGACAGGAAATGCTTTAGGACGGGTTGTCAATGTTCTCTTTGAGATTCCTTGTGAGCGATCAGTAGAACATCCAGATAAAAATGTCTACTAGGCTTTGAGAACTGAAGCTCAGATAATCTTTCAGGCCTGGAATTTAGGTTTGGGCATCATCTCTAAGGAACCGTGGAAGTGGATGAGGCCACCGAGGAAACCAGTCTGGATGGAAGAGAGAGAGGGAATGAGCATGGTTGGGAGGGAGACCTCCTCCAGAGCAGCCCGTGCCCTCAGACCTGCCTGTGGGAATTCCCAGCCCTACCATATTTCAACCCCACTAACCAAAACCGGTGACTGGGATCCCAGCCACCTTTCCAGATCCTAGGATTTCGGGAAGGCTCAGAGGCTCTGAGCCTGCAGCCCCTCAGATGGGTCTCTCTCTAGAGGTAATGCTGATGGCGCTGGAGCTCCTCACAGCCGTAGGACACAGTGTGTTGAACATTGTCCCATATTATCGTGTCACTTGTTCCCCACCACTGTCCTATGAGGTGGTTATTGTAACTTCATTGTTACACAGGAAGGCAAGTGGGGCTTTCAGGGGAGAGTGCTTCGTCTAAGGATATAGAGGAAGCGAAGCTGGAGCCCACTCCCAGGCTTTTGGTTCCAGCCCACTTGCCATCCATGAGGCACCTTTCTGCTCCCTCTCTGCCTGTGTGTCATGCTGTCGTACCACTGTCTCATTTCTGCCAATGCCCACCCAGTAAGGAGGCCTATTCTATGGTGCCTTCCAAATGGGCCCTTCCCCAAGGAGCTCTCAATGCTTGTTGAAGATCCAGATCCCACTGTTGGGGATGCTGTAGTCTGTTGTCACATGAATCCGCTCACTCCTTACCCCCACTGCCTCTGCCAAGTCCAAGCTAGCAGCACCTCCCCTAGGCTTCTGCAGGGCATGCTGCTCTCCCCTCTGCCTGCCTTCCTGGAGTCTGTTCTCTGGACAGCAAGCAGCCGGAGCCACGCTTTCCTCATTTGTAGCCCTCTTGCTCAAAACACTTTAATGGCCTATGACAAAACGCAAAACCCTTAGCGTGGCCCATCATCCCTCCGCCATCCTCTCTACTGCCCCCTCCATCCCACTTCTTCCCTCCACGCCAGCCTCACGAGACTCTAGCTGCTGCTCCTAAACCCCTAGGCACCCCCTTCCTGCCTCAGAATCTCTTCCCCTGGGCTCCTTCCTTCTGGAACATTCCTACTCCATCTAGTCATATGACTCTCTCCCTCATGAGTTTCAGGTTTCTCTACCTGAACATCACCTTTTCAGAGGCCTCCCCTGGCCATCTGATCAAAACCATCACCTCCTCATCTTTACTGTGCTTAGAGCATCTTAGGTCTTATCACCTCCTTCACTTGACATGCGAGCAGGGCCTGACACAATAGGTGTTCAGTAAATTGTCATCAAGTAAATAGCTGGATGAAAACATGGCTGAGCAAACTTGAAGGAGAAGGTGCCTGTTTAAGATCAGGACAGAGACCCAAGTCTGCTGACTGGACCCCTCCGGTGCTGAGCCTGCGTTGATGCATGCGCTTCTGAGTTCCGCCTTCACGCTTACTGGAGACCCATAGGTATGTGTGTCTCTGGTGGGAAGGAGGTATGCTGCTCACCGCTCCCTCCCCTGCTCCCGGGGACTCCTCAAGCACTCCGGGATTCTGATCCTGGGCAAAGAACAAAGAATGTCCCCCGAGGAAATTGACCTTTGGAACCCACTTGCCAGCTCACACCTGGTTCCAGTCACACCAAAAGCCAGCTAGAGAGGCCTGTGCGAACATTCCAGTGAACAGACAGGTTATTTTCCTGGCTTTCATTGTACAGAGCAGCAGCCTCTGCTTTTGAGTTGCTTGTCTTGACCCAAACCATCAGCAGGTGACAAAGTAGGTTCAGAAAGACTGACGTCTTCTCACCCACCCTGGGCAAGCACAGACAATCCTGTGGACTCTCAGAGCCAAGCAGCTTAGGCACAGCGATCCCCAGCACCCCACAAATATTTTCTAAAGACTCACATGTAAACTGGACCAGTGGCTAGCAGGAAGCAAGGAGTTTTAGAAAAATGTCGTCGCTTACAGTGGAACCATGTCAGAGCCTATAATTTAATTATGCAAAAAGTAATGACAAAATAAAACCAACGCCGGGCTCTTTAAATCTCTCATGCTGAACACCATGCTTCTCATATCCTCTGAGTATTATTGATAATGGCAGCTTGTTACTTGCATATGATTTGGTTATTTGCAGACGTCTAATTCGCCATAACACGAAAAGATAGGAGAGGATACTGTAATCATTCCGAACTTCAGATGAGAAAACCAAGGTAGGGTGTACAGTTTGAGGTGGCTTGGCTCATGGGCTAGACCTGTGCTGTTTAATGCAGCAGCCACTAGCCATTGTTGGTACTTAGCACTTCAAATATGGTTAGTTGAAAATTGAGATGTACGCTAAATGCAAACCACATACTGGGTTTAGAAGACTTAGTACGGAAAAAGCGTCAACTATCTCATTGACTATTGATTTACCTTTTGGCTCTATATATTTTAATATCGTATTAAAATTCATTTTATTGTTTTGTTTTCTTTTAAAGATCTGACTACTAGTAAATTTAAAATTATGTGGCTCACACATGTGGTTCCCATTCTACTTCTGTTGGGCAGTGCCGGGCCACAGTGTTCTGGACTGTTCTGTGATTCACAGTGCTTTTTTTCTGCGTTCCTTGACAGCGTGGGCTTCTGAGTTACATCTTCAGGCTCACTGGACACCCATTGGCATTTGTGTCTCTGGCGGGAAGGAGGTGTGCAGTGCGCCTCAAGCTACATGCACACTTGCCTTCCACTCCAGCAGCAAACTCTATGGCCCAAGGGCAAAGGGTCAAGTGCAGAGATTGAGGTCTGAGGATCTCAGAGACAGTGTGGCTTGCCCGTGTTGTAGGAGGTCTGTGCTCTTTCTTCATATCTTCCTGTTGTGGTTGACTCTGTTAGGCTGTGTTGCCTTGAGACAGCATGGCCCATAGGTTCTGTGTTGCATGTAGACTTCAGCAACTTGATCCAAGCTGTGGTCTGCAAATAACTCTCAGCTGCATCCTGTCTCAACCACAGGGATTGGGGAAAACGTCCCATGAAGAAAAGAATATCAATTTATAGAGAGAAGTGCAAGACTTGCCTTGTGAGCCTGGCATTCAGGACCTGAGTTCAGCGCTAAACTGTCCTGACACAGCCTGGTCCGGTCCCCAGGGTCTGGATGCCCTGGACACCTAGAGAGTCACGTTCCACACAGAGAAAGATCAGCCCATGTTCCCTGGAATTTGTGCCTCTCTGGCTGCAAGGCCCCTTTCTAAACTCCTGTGTTCTGAACCTTGCAGTATGAGACTCATCGCACATAACCTGGATGGGGAGGCATACACAGGGTCCTGGAAAAGTTAGCAGCGTCTACTGCATGGAGATGAAAGCAGCTAATGGATTAGGGCAACTGCTTTATCATGGGTGATGCTTTCTCTTTTCTTGGAATTTGCTTTTAAGCTATTACATCTCCTTTTCAAAAACAAAAAAGTCACCTCTATGCATGGATCCTACAGACATTCTAAAGGCCATACATATTGCTTCAGCTTTGCACGGGTGCATCTACTCAGGAGACACACGCCACAGTTCCTAATGCAACCGTGTGACTTAGGCAGGCCTGGAGGCCTCAGTTTGGCCGTGTGAGCATCAGGTATCTCTTGACAGTGAGGCTGGGCTCAGATGTGTGGGTCTGATGATATACCCAATTCAGTTGCTCTGAGTTGACCAGGTAGGTAGAGATCTTGTATAGCCCAAAGAGGTAATCTTCGGGAGAAGCCTTTGAAATCTCCTTTCATCCAAAAACCCAAGATTCCAGCCTTGTTTTACATCGCCTAACAGACTGCAAGGCTCTTTTGGAAATCAGTAGCAATGTTCACAGAACACACACACACAGGACCCGAGGAATAAAGAGCTATGTCCAGTGGTGGAAATGAAGGACAAGGGCTACCCCGCCCTCTGCCACTTTGCTGTGGCCTCTGTTGCCCTGAGATGGAGATGTGCTGAGTTATTACCCCCTTGGGGCCACCGCCACCTCCCTGCTCTATTGTGGCAGACCCGGGCTCTCTTGTCACCTGTCCCAGTGCTATCAGCTGCCAGTGAGCCCCAGCCCCATGCTAGCTGTAAGTGCAGGTCTTAATACAAATTAGCAGCAGTGCAAGCAAGCTGAATGGCAAAACCTCGTCTCGTGCTCCCCCTCCCTCTTGTTTTCATCAAGCCCTCTTCACAGGCGCCAGCTGCCTCATTAAAGAGCAGCCTTTTATGCTGGGCTTCACCTGTACCCACCCTGAGCGGCAGCCGTGGAGCCCCATGGCTGCATGGAGGGCTTGTACTGGCTGGCGGAGGCACAGTACTTGGGATCTGCAAGAATGGAGGGAGGTCTGGCAGGCGAGCGGGCGAGGTACGGCTTTCCTTCTTTCTCTCTGTCATTGAGCAGTGGGAGGAGGGCCAGCTGGGCAAGTGTGGGGAACCAGGATGGTGCCAGTGCTTCTCCCTAAAGACACCCGCCTGCAGGTCCTAGTGCAGACGCCTGGGACTGAGGACAGGGCCTTGTTCCAGAGGAGAAGCACCCCGGCAGGCGGGTGGCCAAACCGATCACCTGTCCAGCTGGGGAGCAAGTGTGTGCACAGGGCTAGGGGTGGGAGAGGGGAGGAGGGAAGTAGAACTGGGAGAACTTCTCTGGGTCAATGAGTGAGGAGGTTCCGCACAGGGAATGAGTGGCCACGGCCACCCCAGCAAGAGAGCACCCTCCTCCTCTGTGCCCACTTTCCCTTCATCGGAGTGCTCGTGGCTCCTCTCCTTACCAGGTCATGTTTTAGGCAGATTTCGGAAAATGTTTCTTTAGGCTTTTCACATTTATTTTCCTCCAGCCCTGGCACCTGGGACTAGCCCTGCCACCTGTGCCTACCATACATGGCCATAACCATAAATGCTCACTCCATTTCAATGAGTCCTGACGTGCTGACTTCTCTGCACAGCAAGAGGTCAGTTTCTAACTCAGAAATCCCCAGGGGCCCGGTTGATGTGGAAAATAATTTTTCAAACATTGTCTCCCCAACATCCACAAAGGGGAAGAGCCATGGGATGTGCCCTCCTGTCCCACCATCCCCTACCTCCTGCTGTCGTTCTCCTTTCCAAAAGACCCCTGCTCATGCCCTCTCCCTCTGGGCATCCTCCAAGGGAAGAGAGGACAGTGTGGCACTCACCTCTTCCACAGAGGCCACCCGCCAATGAAACCTTGCTCACTTGGTCGCAGGCCAACTTAATCCCTCAAACTTCTGCAGCACTTGAACTATTCCACAACTGACAAAGATGCAGGAAAGGCTGCCAGACCATGCATGTGTGTTTGTGTGTGTGTGCCTGTGTGTGTGTGTGGTGGTGTGTATCCGTGTGTGTGCATGTATTGAAGTGTGTATGTGTGTGTGGATGAAGTGTATGTGCATATGTGTGCATGTTCTCTGTGTTGGAATGTGTGCTTCCATGTGGGTGAAGTATGTGTGTTCTGTGTTAACATGTGTGCAGTGCATGTCCGTGCATGTGTGTTGAAGTGTGTGCATGCATGAGAGTATGTGCATGTCTGTGCACATGTGTTCTCTATTGAAGTTTGTGCATGCACGTGGGTGGAGTATTGTGCACGTGTGTTCTGTGTTGGAGTGCATGTGCACATGTGCGTGCATGTGTGCGAGTGTATGCCTGCAGTTAGCCCCAGGGCGGGTGAGGAGACCCAGCACACTCGAGCCAGAGCTCAGCTCAGACACAGGCACCAGGGTCTGACTGGGACTGCTTCATCTCAGGCCAGGTCCTTCCACAGCAGAAGCCAAAGGGCCAAACCCTGGTGAAAAGCTCTGATGTGCTACTGCCTCCCCTCCACTGCCATGGGGACATTAAACCTTCAGCAATCTGGGACTCTGACGGCTGGTTCTTGGTTCTCTGCCTGGAAAAACAGTAGGCGAATAGTAAAACCTTAAATTCTAACATGTGTGAGTTATACATCTTATTTTCATTTTCAGCCCATGTTCCCCTCTGTAAGACATCAGGAAAAAATTACCGTCTGACTTCTAATATCTCAGTGGAGCATTTATCTCCCAGCTATGATAAGTGATCTTCAATATTTTTTTCCTTTCAGATTAAGAAACAAATTCATTTAATTTTCTTTATTGAACGTGCTCAGGCCTCCCCACCCTGCCTGGGTCTCAGGAAGGCCTGGGCTGATCTCCCTTCTCCTGGGTTAGTGACTGCTGTCCCCGCTTGTGGGATGGGTGGATCGCTATCTGGTACGGCCCTGCTCCTCAAGGCCTTGCTGTGGTCTGTTCCTGCCCATGGCAGGGGATGGAGGGCAGTGGCCAGGCTTCTGGAACGTCCGGAGAGGTTATACGGCCTAGAATTGGAAGCCTGTAATCTGAACCTTATCTGAACTCCTTGGTCTGAAGGCCTAGTTTGGAGCTCTTGAGAGAACTGGCTGTCTCCCAGGCTGCCAGAACCGGTGCTTCCTGCTCAGTATAACCGTGGCTACGGCTTCTCCTTGGCCTCCCCATCGTTGTCTTTGGGCCGGCTGCTGCTGGAGTGGCTGAGCAGCAGGCACTGGGTGTGGCAGGGTGGCACCTCCCCCAGGCATGCTAGAGGTGCGTGATGCTGGGCTGGAGGGCAGGCAGAGTGTGTTTGCCAGCCTGCTTCAGGGCACCAGATGGCCATGAGTGGGATGTCACCCCTTCAGACAGCTGCCCAATCACCAGTGCTGCAAAATACCAGGTGCTGATCAAGCTCTGTAGTTCTAGGCTAAGTTGGGTGATCTGCTTTCTCCCCTGTGCATGTCCATACTGCTTCCAAGGTAAGCTCGGGGCCAAGGATGCAAAATGCCACAGGGCCACCACCTCTCCGTCAGGTGGAAGTTCCTGGATTCCATTCCTTCTCCAAGTAGCAACCAGCTCTTTTGCATGTGTGCTTGATAGTAAAGCTTAACGCTGCAGACCAGAGTCCTGCTTCCACCTCGACTAGTTGTGTGACCGTGAGCCAGAGAGCCCCGTCTCGATTTCATCAACCATGAAAAGGAGATGGTAACCCTTGCTGTGCCTATCTTGGAGGCTTACTGGGAAATTTGAATATAACAGTGTATGAGAAATGCATTAAACTTAGATATGTGCAGTAGAAATAACTCACTGAGAAAGCATTTGCTGCTCACCTTCTACCTAAGAGTACTAAGGTTAAACAAAGAAAGTGATGACCATCCTCTTGAGGACTCAGCAGTCAGAGGGCACAGGCCAAGCTAAGAATCAGACAATGTGACAAGTTCTAATAACCAAGGCAGGACACCAAGTGCTGCGGGACTGTGTGGAAGGCGCATCTGTGAGCGTCGACTAGGTTGCCTGGCGGTGAGGCTAAAAATGTAAGCTGCAGTCAGACAGGGAGGGCTGGGATGGCGCTCAAAGAAGCTCAGACCTTGGTCTGAGGGCACTAAGGCACTGCCAGAAGTTTTTACGTACTGTAATTACAGGATTGGGCTTTTATTTGAAGAAAACTCTGGTTGCAGCGTGGAGGATAGAAAGAGGGCATCATCATCGTCATGACACCAAGTGGGGCTGGGCAATGGCTCCATGGTCATCAGCAGAGCCGTGGGCTTATGATTCAGAGGCTGGGGCGAGCTGCCTGCCAGTGCTGACCGCCTCTGGGTTTTGTCTCCTCTCACTTTAGGGAGTCTCCGGTGGATTGCAGCGTTAGCAAATGCAGCAAGCTCGTGGGCGGAGGCGAGTCCAACCCCATGAACTATAACAGCTATATGGATGAGAAGAATGGCCCCCCTCCTCCCAACATGACCACCAACGAGAGGAGAGTCATCGTCCCTGCAGGTACTTTGAGAACCAGGCTGCCTGGATGGCATTCACTTCCCCACTCTCTGGGGACTAGGAAGCATTTAAACCTTTATCTCATACTCTGTTCCCTGTGAAAATGCAAAATGGAGAAAGCTGTACATCACCCAACCATGGTAGCTCACATCTGTAATCCTAGCACGTTGGGAGGCAGAGGCGGGTGAATCAGTTGGGAGTTTAAGACCAGCAGCCTGGCCAGCATGGTGAAACCTCATCTCTACTAAAAAAAAAAAAAAATACAAAAATAAGCCGGGAGTGGTGGTGGACACCTGTAATCTCAGCTACTCAGGAGGCTGAGGTAGGAGATTTGCTTGAACCCAGAATGCAGAGGTTGCAGTGAGCCAAGATCGCATCATTGCACTCCAGCCTGGGTGATGGAGCGAGATTCTGTCTCAAAACAAAACAACAACAAAAAAACCTGCACATTTTACCTTACTCCCTAGCTGCCCTTTAAACCAGTGTCCCAGATGTCCCCTGATGTGTGGATTGAATGCTAGAAGCCCCACCTTTAAACAGACCACACCACAGACTCTATATCAATGGCCTGGTCCTCAAGGACGGGCGGCAAGGCTGCCTCCACCCAAAAGGAATCCCGTGAGCTCTGGACATGGGCATCCTTGCCTGTGAGGAGGAGGGCAGCTGCAGAGGCCCGTCCTTCCCTGCAGGCTTGTACTTCCCGGCATCTGCCGGGCTCCACCTTTCCAAAATTACAGCCAGCTCTTTGAGTTTTAAAATAGAAATAACTATATTTAACTAATGGAGTGCCTTAACATGTGTGCCACAAGTTATGTCATTAGATAAAAATAGCCTCTTTTTCCTAGGTACTGGTGCTGTTGGTCCCAGAAAATAAAATCATTGTTCAGTCCTTCAGTCCATTGGCCAGACACTCCGCCCCAGCCAGCACCAGCAAACTCAGCGCCTGTACAAGAAGGGTGTTTAAAAACTGCCACGTGTAGAGCTGGTGCCAGGTAGAAGGAGTAAGAACGTCCAGATCCTAAGTAAAGTGGATTACAGGGCAGGGATTAAACCTGATCTTACCAAAATAACTTTACCAGAGAGCAAAGCTCCTTCCATTGGTAAATGTGTAAATGTAGTTGCATCTGAAGTCAAAAGGTTAGACATCTCTTTGAGGTAGTCTGAAGGCATTTGCTTGTAGATCTAAAGGCGGAAATTTTAAGGGACCCCTCCTGCCTTGGGCCGTGGTGTTTGTTTTCCCTGGGAAGCTGCGTCTCACCATATCCCTGGACCACAGTTGACTCCCTGTGTTCTGGGCCAAATTCAAGAAGGTGCGAGCAAGAGCGAGGCAGGAGAGGGGTGGGGCTTGTGGGAATTTCTCTGTACCCTGCAGGACTTACAAACGACTCCTAAGGCAATTCTAAGTTCACTCTTCCACAAGCATCTGACCTAACAAAGGAAGAGCGCTTCCGTTTATTGAGCGTTTTCTAGGTGCCAGGCACCATGCAAATTGCTTTATCTCCATGGCATTACTTAAAACACCTGTCACAGGAGACCAGCTAGTAATGTTTAGCCCAGGTGTATCGTCTCCCTCCTCACTGAAAGCAAACAGTGAAACCATATTAGAACACAGATGTAGGAATCTCTTTGTACACCCCAAAGCAAAGCTGAGCCTCACCGGGTTCTTCACTCAAATAGCTTTAAACACCCCTGCTTCAGCCAAACAGCTCCCAGCCTGGGAGGGAAAGCTTGAGGGACTGAAGGGTTAAGGGACCTGAGATTGTCTCTGAATCAACCTTTGGCACCATCTCATTTTGGTCGTCATTTTTGGGAAGGAATCTGGGAAATGGGCAGAAGTGGCCAGACTGCTATGTCGACCTTCCAAACCCTCAATCAGTATTGAAATGCCTTCAAAAGGGATAGCAAAACGTCAGGCTTCAGTGAGCCAACTTACTTATGGCAGTGATGGTGAAAATGGCACAGATTCATGTCAAATGATTTTTAAAGCACTTCGTGTAATGAATTCTCAGGCTATGGATTTACTTCATTATTTTAGCTCCGGCTGGATCTTCTAGATCCTCAGACATTTTGGCTTCCTCCAGGCCAGGCTCTGGACATGAGGGGAAGTCTCATTTGGGCAAGTCGACAAATCAAGGCCATAAAATATTAGTGGAATAAGCGATTGAATTTATGATGGGATTTAAAGACAAGTATAAATGTGGGCCCTAGTTAATCACTAGCTCCATGTTCAGATGGGAAGAGGCTAGGACTAAATCATCCAGGAAATACATTTGGAAGAGTTTAGCATGATCCAGAGTTGAAGATTTATAATTCATTGTGCTGTAGAGGGAGAGAAATAATAGTGTTGCAGAGCCCAAAGCAAGGGAGGAAATAATAAAATAAATAAAATATATGGTATACAATTGAATTTGAGGTCTTGGATACTAAAAGTGAGGAACTGGGAGAAGTGAAGAATGAAATAATCTGCTCCATAATCCAACTCCCCCTAGGATATGTTTCTTTAGAATTCTGAAAAGGTGCAAAATTATTTCCATTTGCCAATGATCCATGCCTAATTGCTTCTGGAGAGTAAAAGAGCAAGAAATGTATCTGAGAGAGAGAGAAATACATACTTGTACAATGACGCTTTAAAGGAGCTCCGCTTTTTGGCATCAGAGCCGTGTAACTCACAGGTGAGGTAAAGCAGGATGGTGAGAAGAGGAAAGCAGCTTTGGGGGGACCCACCTCTTCAGCTTGGTGAAGTCTTGCGAAGGTTTCTATTGGAACCCTGGTCCTGATACTTACCAGCGATGAGGCTTTGGGCAAGGGACTTAACCTTCTTTTTTTTTTTTTTTTTTTTTTTTGAGATGACATCTTGCTCTGTCACCAGGCTGGAGTGCAGTGGAACAATCTCAGTTCACTGCAACCTCCGCCTCCCGGGTTCAAGCAATTCTCCTGCCTCAGCCTCCCGAGTAGCTGGGACTAGAGGCGTGCACCACCACACCAGCTAATTTTTATATTTTTAGTTGAGATGGGGTTTTACCATGTTTGCCAGGTTGGTCTGGATCACTTGACCTTGTGATCTGTCCGCCCTGGCCTCCCAAAGTGCTGGGGTTACAGGTGTGAGCCACCTCGCCCAGCCAAAACTTAACCTTTTAAGACTCCACTTTGCATCTGTAAATGGGATATTACAAGATTTCCTTGGTAAGTAAAAACAGAGCACATGGAGCAGATGGCATATTGCACCCACCACCTGAGCCGTCACTGCTCACCCAGCGTTCGGTTGTGGGAATGACTTTGAGCAGTAGGCTGTGACCTGTGAGCCCAAAGTCTCCTAACTCCTCCCCTTTGCCAGCTCCTCTACCTCCAGCCAATATAGCAATCACTCATGCATGGGCAGGGCCTGGGCACCCAGATTCTCACACATAAAAACCAAGGTGGGATGGAGAGCTCAAGGGCAGTTGGCAGAGGCTTGCGGAAAATTGCTGGGAAACTTGCCTGTGGCTGCCCAGCTGCGAAGTGTGAACCTCGCTTCTTTCCCCACATCTGCTCCTAATCATTCAACCCTGGTTCCCAGCTTTGCCAAGAGCTTTCACAGACGCTGTAGAATGAGAGAGTGAGTTAGTTGAGGGGTAGCCAGATATTTCTGCCTAATAAATATGGTAAATAAAACAGGCTCATTAGAAGCCAGAGGCTAATGACTGACTTACAATAAAATGCCTAGTTTCTCCTCTTCCAGGAAGTCTTCCACGACTCTCCAAATTTTCACTATTCCCTTCCACTTATGTGTCTTTGAACCACCGCCACAAAATCCATTGCTTAGTAGCGATATGCTTGCCCACCTGTTTCATGGGAAGGAGTGTTTCTTGAAGGCAAGTGTCACGTAGTTTTCTTCTATGGTGAGGATACTTAAGGTGTTTATTGGACCCACTAACGATTGGTTGTGAAGTGAAGAGATGGGTTTCAGACTGTAGTAGGTGATAAAATATAAGAGTTCTGCCTACTGTGGAACCTGCGGGAACCCATCGCTTGTGCTGAACGTGCAACATCCGCACCCCACCCCCCACCACACAGGTGCACGTGTGCAGGAACACACGCACACACACACACACACACACACAGAGAAGGAGAAGGAGGTATGAGTGTCCTACCGTAGAGGTGGCCTCTGTGGTTACCTTACCTGTGTCCTCTCAAGGACTAAAAGTTTCTCCCTAATACCATCTCTCATCCTTGGGTATTTAAATATCCAAAAAATGTTTTGTGGAGGACCTGGTAGAAATTTCAACACAGCTGTACTTAAAAGGCGAAAACCCAGATTGGGTTTATGTTCAGGACTACCACCACTGGGTTTTTCAGCAGCACAGATGGAATTGCAGTAAAAGTCTCTCTCTCTGTTTCTTTTCTATAGCCATCTGAGGGATCCGTGTTCTTTCATGAAACCATTAATATTCTTAAAATACAGATGGTTCCCCTTTCCAGAGACATTGTTCCTGGGGTCTGTGGAATTGTGTTTATTTTCATTTTGATGCCACCATTTCTCAGGCAAAGGTTTCAACTGCCCTCCAAAACTTTAAAGAGTGTTCTGTCAGGATACGTAGTAAGGAAGCTAAGCGCCTCCCCAGAGTGCTAAGTGGTTCAGGCAGCGCCAGATGCCGTGGAGCCAGATGGGTGTTCTAGGGAGACCATCTGGAAGGGAGCTGGCTTTCCCAGAGAGAGAGAAGGGAAAGAGAGAGGGACAAGGGGTAAGGGAGAGAGGGAGGGAGGCTGCCTAGGCTCTCAGGGAGCCTCTACCTACCTGCGGCCCTTGCCTAACAACGTCTTCTCCTCTGCAGACCCCACGCTGTGGACACAGGAGCACGTGAGGCAGTGGCTGGAGTGGGCCATAAAGGAATACGGCTTGATGGAGATTGACACATCCTTTTTCCAGAACATGGATGGCAAGGAACTGTGCAAAATGAACAAGGAGGACTTCCTCCGCGCTACCACCCTCTACAACACGGAAGTGCTGTTGTCACACCTCAGTTACCTCAGGGAAAGTAAGTGCCACCCCAGTGCCCAGGGCTGCGAGACAGCTCTGCAAGGCCTGCTCGTTTCCCATGGAGCCAACCTCAGGGAGACGAAGTCTATGCTGCCTGTCCATGTTGCGCAGGTGCCACGGAAACAGCACCGTAGCATTGTGACCCTGTAGCATTGCCAGGGTCACGTGGGCTTCACAGACCCTGTGAGGGGCAGACCCAACCCTGAAGTGTCAAAGGAAGTAAAACAAGGAATGGAGAAAAATAGAGAGCTGTGACCTGGAGGGGGTCTGCCAGAGGCTAGTTACAGTCTTCCTATGAGACCTCTTTTCCAGAAACGACTCCAATTTGTAAATAGATAGAGATGGGTGGGGCCCTGGCTAGTGTTTTCCTAAGTGATTATTTAAAGTTCCTCTAGGAAACTCTAGATTCGAAGCTTTGGGATTTAAGGTTGTGAAAATAATTTACATATTAGCTTCTTCTTAATCTTGGGGTACTCTGACACCCTCTAACCCCACATGACAGGGCTGCTACCTGCACATGTCCTTGCTAAAGGAAGAGCAGCCAAAGCTGCAGACGTGTTAGGATCTATGGAAGCTTTCTTCTGGTATAGCCAGGAGCAGGAAAAGAGCTTCGGAAAGCACGAGCTTAAGAAAGAAGGCGGGTGGTTGTCCGAGAGATTTATCTAATATGAGGTTCCCTAGCACCAAGTGCCCATCAGTCTTATATGAATTTCATTTGATATGAAATATACACGGAGCAGAGGAATGGAATTATTTTAGTCCCACTGGTAACCTCGGCCTTAACACTTTGCCAGAAGTCCAGGCCAGGATTTTTTTTTTTTTTTTTTAGTTTTTAAATGAAACCCATTTAATTATCTCACATATTAAGAGTTCAGACCATTCTAGGCTATGTGCAGTAGATCAACCATGCCATGATGGATCCAGGCTCCACTACCAGCCTCAGTGTCTATGATCTTCCTCTTTAGAACTGCAAGGTGGCCTCCATGGCTCCAAGCATCCTCTCTTCACAGGATGGGGACCATGAGTCTGATGTGAGTCCTCTCAACTCTGATTTCATCTAGTATTTTCAGCATTGACTACCCCTAAGTATGGAAAGATTGTCCTGAGGACTGAAAAGGTGGTGCTAGGATCACAGGAATATAGGTATGGTATTGCACTATGTGTGAGCTTTCCAGCAGTGAACGCTGTGCAAAGACAATGCAGCCTTGAGATGCAGTCTGTTGTGAATGGCCAAGGCAGCTGAGAGTCCTCTGGAAATTTAGCTTTGGGCAGGGGCTTGGTGATTTTAAGTCCCCTTCAGAAGTTGAGATCCTCAGACAGCACCTCCGGGACCTGCTTTTCCTGGACTGGCTGGCTCTGGGTTGGTGAGCTCTGTTTGCTCTCCATTGCTCAGTGGACCTTTAACTCCTCGTCTTTGGAATCCACTGTCCCCTTCAGCAACAGTGTTCCTCGTGGGGCAGGGGCAATGCATGCTGGCTGGAGAAATTAAAAAATCAAAAAGATGCCTTTGGAAGTTTCCACTGGTACCTCTGTGCTCTCTGGTCACCTTTCCGAGGCGTCTGGTCACCAGTGCGAGGAAGCAGATGATGCATATATGTCAGCCCCGGGGCAATTACCTCATGTCTGAGTCTTGCTACGACATGAGGTCAGCCCAAGAAACAATTTCAGAAAAGGGGACAATTTTCCGCCCAGCTTGTCAGAGCTTTGGATAATCAGCATTTTCTAATTCATATTTTTAGCTTTTAAGTGTTTGTGGAATTTTATAAAGTAAGGATCTTTGAACAGAGTCCTGCACTGATCTAGGCAGGCTAGAGTGGGTGCACGGAGGTTAGCATGAGAAGGAGAGAACAGCAAAGCAACCCGATTCGGCAGGAGTTTGCAGAAACCCTGAGCCCTTTCCTTCATCTGCCAGAGTAGAGAGGACAACAGTAGCACAGACAGCATGCTCTGAGCTATTGGTTAAAGGGCCCAGTGCTTTGAGGCTCCTGGGTGGATGCCTCTGTGGGGACAATGTTCATGGTATTCTCTCCATCTGGGGAAAGTCCATTCATGCCGTATGACCCCCTGGGCCCTAACCAGTCCAAAAACAGTTCAAGTCCCCCTAGTACTTCCTGCCACCAAAGAAGGAAAGCACAGATGCTGAAGTGAGACAAACACCCAAGAAAATGGTCACTGGCCACCATTAGACTGGAGAAGAGAGGATAACAAGGCTGAAGTGGAGGTGCAGAGGTTGGCATTTTGGGGGGTATAGCATGGCAAGAAAAAGTGAATTGCTTCTTTCAAGAATATTTATAGACAGAAAATGCCCCCAAATCAATAAAAATATTAGGTTCCAAAAAGGGACTTATCAATGAGCATATTTCCAGTGCGTAGACTGAAGATATTTGAAAATGCAGGGCAGATTTCCAGAGCAAGGATGGTGGTTAACAGTAGTACATCCGCAAGATGGGAAGCAGTTGTTCTGCCATTAAAATGATTATTGGGAAACACCGTGAGAAGTACTTAGGATGCAATGTTGGGTGGAAAAGCTCACTATAAAGTGGTCTGTGCATTGATAGAAAAAGCATGTCTGCCTCTGAAAGCAAAAAATTAAAACACTCCTGTTAAATTAAAAAAAAAAAAAAAAAACTTGCCCCAAAAAAGTTTTTAAAATTTTTTTTTGGGAACCTAAATTTAAAAATGATCCACTGTCAGGGAAAAGGCTTTTAGATTCATGCTGCTTTTTAATTGGTGTCTACCTTGGGGTTCCAGCCTTGGGGACCCTCTGGTGTGAGGTGGTGGCTGGCTGCTAAGCGCCTGTAGGGGGCCATGTGCTGGTGACCACGTCTGCTCTGTCTCTGCTCTGGATTGCTGGGAACTCCCCAGTGAAAACCAGCACTTTAAACCCTTTTAAACCCTTCAAACACTTTATTGCTTTTCCAGACTGACTTCCAGTGGATGTTTTGTGCTTAGGAGGAAGGCCAGTGCTTGCGGAGAGTTTGAGGCGATGAGTCAAGGCAAGGGGAAGGGGTGCTGATTCTCTGTGCTTTAGCATCTTGCCCTTTTGTTGGAGAGGAAGGTGAGCATCAGATATTTCCACTTAGCAAGAGATGGAAGGAAAACAGCTGAGATCCTTCACTCCGGTGGAGGAAGTACTGCAGGGTGAAGGAAAGTTGATGGAGAACTGGAGACCTGAGCCCGTGGCTGGTTGGAAGTCAGAAGAGTCCAAGTTGATGGCACGTCTCCAGTCTAATCTTTCTAGGCTTCAGTAGAAAGTCTAGAAAAAGGAAAACCTCATAGGATAGGAAGTTCTGGCATCAAATTTACACTTTCACAAAAGGTACTTGACTATTTATTTTGGTGGTCTGGGAGGGGACCTAGAGGTTTACATTTTAAATTCAAAATGTATTTTCCAGGGTCGAGAAGAAACAGCTGTGTCCTGAGCCCCTACGGACCCTGTCTGATGGCCGGACATGCTAGGCCTCACCTGGCCTGCTGGGAGGTGCTTGTTCTTTACACATGGGCATGTCAGCTGCACCAGAGTGGCTGGAAATGCCAGGAGGACAGTGCCAGCTAGGGCTGGAAGGGGTGGCCATGGTCCTTGGCGTCATTCCCATGGGTCCTGGGAAACTCCAGGGTTCACACCTGTCAATCTCAGCATTTTGGGAGTCCAAGGCAGGTAGATCACTTGAGGTCAGGAGTTCGAGACCAGCCTGGCCAACATGGCGAAATCCCATCTCTACTAAAAATACAAAAATACAAAAATTTACTAAAAATACAAAAATTAGCCGGGTGTGGTGGGGGGGGCACCTGTAATCTCAGCTACTTGGGAGGCTGAGGCAGGGGAATCACTTGAACCTCGGAGGGGGAGAGGCTGCAGTGAGCGGAGATTGCATCACTGCAATCTCTAAACTGGGGGACAGAGGGAGGCTCTGTCTCAAAAACAAAACAACAACAAAGAAAAGGTTGCCCCCTTGTGGGTACCTATCTACAATCCCCATTTTAAAGCTGAAACCACTGAGGCCTTGACAGCTTCAGATACTGATTCAAAGGCGTCCAGCCGGCTGAGAGCACCTGTATCTAAGACTCGGGCCTCTCGAGTCCCAGTCCCTGGCCTGGCGCTGCCGCTGTCCCCCCGGCCCTGGAGACGGTATGCCAGCCTGTGTCACACAAGCGAGGCAGCCTCACTCCCGGCCTTCCACGTGGACCGCCCGGCCACTTCCCCCACGGCATTTTCTGTTGTCATTTGTACCAAGAGATAAAAACTTTCCGAAAACTTTCCTGTGGCCTCCTGGAAGGAGGCCGATTAAGCCAAACCCATCACCACGCTAAGCCTTCGCGGGGCCTGACTGGCGGCCCCGCCAGTGTCTCTCCCAGACACACGCCGTTTGGCAGAGGCGCCCTCGCTGCGGGCACGAGATTTGGCCCTTCTCAGGCCAGGGCAGGGGAGGGCGCCGGCGGCAGTTCAGGCTCAGGGCCGCTGGGGGGAGTTTGCGCAGGTCTGGGAGCCCCGAGGCCCCGGGGGAGGCGGGGAGGCAGGAAGAAAAAGAGACTTTTTTTTTTTTTTTTTTTTTTACTTTTACAAACAAGTTGGGTTTGTAAGTCTATCTGGGTCTGACCTGGAAAGCATACTAAGGCACTGCGTCTTCAAACAGTGGCTGCTCAGAAGAATGAAATATACCGCGTGACAGGGAGACCACAGAAAAGGTGCCTATCTCGATTCCCATTTTTAATTTAAACTAATGGAAAACACATTTTGCGTTTTGCGGTCTTTCCACCTGCAGCCTCAGATGGCCGGGCAGAGGTTTTGGGTCTGGGCAATTAAACTGGTGCAGTCTTATCACTTCCAGGCTGGGGTTTGACCGGTGAAGGAGAACAGAATTCCAGCTGAACAAAAGGCCAGGCAGATTTCCCTGGACTCACTAGTCAGCCAGGATTGATGTTTAAAGAAGCCAGAGTCTTACACCCTCCCACTCCCGCTCAGCCAGAGCCATTGATAGCGCAGCCCAGAGAAAAGGGAGACCTGGGTTCAACAGGCTGGCTGTGAGGGGCACTGGGGAATTCTATGGTCACAGAGAGGCAGGAGACAAAGGCTTTGGCTCTGGGATTCTTGTGTCCCCTGGCCCAGGTGTCCCCGATGAAAAGCAGGTTAGGTTGAGGGACTGTGGAGCTGCAGAAAGCATGATTGTTGGGGCTCCGCTGCACACCTGCAAAGCCTCACACCGCTCAGTCCCCTCTCCTTTCAGATCCTGGTACTGTCTCCAGCAGCAGATGGACTCAAATATGGAACAGAAAATGATCCTTTTCCCATGCTTGCACTTTGGGAAGGCCACTCCATTCTCAGCAGGAGTTACTTTATGCTTTTTTCCCCAATAAATAGAAATATGTATATGCGTACACACCCGTATAACACATATGTACATACAAACACACGTACAGAAACTAACAAATAACCAACTAGGCAAATGTTATATTTCAGTTGGAACTGAAGTGCAAAACTCTTTAAGTGAGCTACTTGAGGAGTTCTCATTAAGTGAATCCACTCGCTCGCCTGAGCACCTCCCAGGTCAAGGAGTAGAATTTCAGCCCCCTGTATGCTCTTTCCACCCCAACATTGCTTCCTCCCAAAACTAACCACCATCCTGCCTCCCGTCCCTGTAGGTGTTTTGCCTGTTTCTATGTTTTAGCCTGGAGACGGTTGGGTTCTGCCATGCTGAGGACAGGTTTTGTGGATAGACCAGGATGAGGCTCCTGCTTCTTGAACTCTCTGGCTGTGTGATCCTGGGCAAACGCTATGACTTTACTGAACATTGCCCTTCTCATCTGTATAAAGGAATAAGGGGATGCTGGCTCTGTGTGGCTCATGCAAGGATTAAGTGAGAGAATAGATGGAAAGCATCAGGCACACCATGTATGTTCAGAGCATTGCTTCCTCCTCTCTTCATCGTGGCCTGTCTACCCTGATGCGCTGGTGTCAGGAAGGAGGAGGGGGAGCTCAACAGCCCATGGCAGGGTCAGGCCTGACAGAGTCTCAAGGCAGGAGAAAGCAATCCAAAGCTACAGAGCGGGAGGCTGGGCTCCGGGAGGACCTGCCAGCATCAGAACAAGTTCCTTAAGAAAACAGAGCCTGGGGAACTGATGAAGTAGAAATTGGAGAAGATGAGGGAATGTGGGTCCCTTGAGAGAGAGGCCAGATGCCCCCAACCAGCCCCTCCTCAGAGAAGGCAGCCATTCCTTCTAGCAGTGAAACTTGAACCAAGAACAGTCTTTAGGGCAAAGTCCTTTTCCTAGGTTGCCATGAAGTATGTATTTCATGCAAGCTTCAGAGAGGTCAAATGACCCTTTCTCTCGGCTTTCTGGGAGTTTCCTGTGGAATTCATGTATGCCCAAAGAAGAACTTTCACCAAGGGGGAAATTTAATAAATGTGGTTTATCTAAGCTTCGTGCTTTCGGCTACATCTGCACTAATGACTCAGGCAGTTTGCTCCTCCTCGGAGACCATCATTTTTCTTTATTTGCTCCAGCAGTGAGGGTTCAGCCTGAGGGAGAGAACGTCAGGGACAGAGAGGCAAGCATTCTTGGCCCTACTTCTGGGATTTTTTGTCTTCCCTCGGAATGTTTGGTTCCAGTTCTTCACTTCCTTCCAGTCATGCCGGATTATTTCTTATTGCAGCAGAACCCATTCATAACTCTAATCAGAGGACAAGACTAATGCTCAGCAAACACATCCATAGAGAGAACTACTGTGTGTAATTGTGGCACCTGTGGGGGAAGGATGTAAAAATAGTAATGATCACAGCCAGCATTTATGGAATGCTTGTTATGAATCAAGGTCCTTTCTGAGCATATTACATGCATTATTTGATCTTCACAGTATCATTTTAGGTAAGTGGCATTGTTAGCCCATTTTACAGATGAGAAAACTGTGGCTGAGAGAGATGAGGGAAATCGATGGAGAGCACAAAGCTAGTCAGTGATAAGAGGCAAGTCTAATTTTAAATTCTCATGTGCTTAATAAACATACAGTTGTGCTTTGCTTGGTGACGGGGATAGCTCATCTTCATGTGAACACCACAAAATGTACTTACACAAACCCACATGGTATAGCCTACTACGCATACAGGCTGTCTGTACAACATGTTATTGTACTGAATACAGTAGACAATCGAGGTACAATGGTAAGTATTTGTGCATCTAAACCTTTAAAGGGTACAGTGGAAATCCAGTATTACCATCTTATAGGACCACTTCATATATGTGGCCCATCATTGCCCGAAACATCAGTTTTTGGTGTGTGACTATGAAAATGAACTTGTCACAGCCTCACTTTGTCATTGATAGTCTTCAACATGGAATAACCAAATGTAGCTGGCTCTTGGATGTTACATTCATGTGACTGTCTTATTTCTAAAATGGCATCCACACAGCCACACTTTGGCACACAGCGGGCTCAATACCGCCCTTGTAATTCCCCCCATCCCCCCACCACCCGCTTGTTTTTGTCTGGAGCTGCTGCAGAGCTAGAACTAACAGCCTTGTTCTAGGCAGTTGGGCGATTCTTATAAAATTCTCTTCCTCGTCGTCTGGCCTGGTAGTGCGCACATTTTCTGTGAGACACACAACCAGACGCCCACGGCTGGGTGAGGCGGCAGCTCCATTTCTGCATCCCTTCCATGACGGGAGACTAAAAATAGTAGCGTCTGACAGCCCATTCCCACCCCTGGCACCCAAACCAGTCCACTTGGCCACAGGAAGCAGGGAAAAGGGTTGCTTAGAAAAATTTTCTTAGCCTCGAACACATGTGTTGAGCTTATGGTATGTTTTGTAAAAGCAGATCCCAGCCCTAGTTTTGAGGGCTCTTTAAGATTTCTCTTGGAGAATCTCAAAGAGAATGGCAAAGATGCCTACATTTCACAAAACACAACCTTGAATTCGCTTTAAACAAAGGAACAAATCTAGTTTTGGGAAAGAAGGGAGAATGTGTTTTACATGGAATAAATTATTTCAAAGTGCTGGGTACAGAATAGGGATGCATTGAAGTTTAATTTTAAAAGATTGGATATCAGCATGCTGAGATTATAGAAAATTCAATGCATGACTACTCATGTTCAGTTGTATGTTCTTAGACATAGGTGAAGGGAAGCAAAAGTTCCTATTGGAATACTACCACTCACCTCCTTCCCAGCTCCCAGTGCCCCCACCACCAGTAACAGAGCCCCATGCACCTCACCCTCACCTGTAAAAGGATCTTTATGTTTGTAAACCCAGAGGATATCACAGCAGAAAGGAGTGATACTGACTCCTCCTCCAGGCCATGGCAAACTACAGGCTGCAGGCCAGATCTGGCCAAAAGCGGCCCGTGGACAAAACAAAACAGAAACTAAGAAGACTGTTCGACAGAGATTGCAGTTAGCCTATAAAGCCTATAAAACCTTACTGTCTCCTTTTGATAGAAGGAGTCTGCCAACCTCTGCTCTAGATCAAGAAGAAAAAATCAAAATCTAGGCATGTCACTCACCAACTGTCATGTGGTGAGTTAATACCAACTGGAACGGACCCGGGTTTAGTGTTTCTCAATGCTGTGTTCCCATCATGATATGGCACAGACCAGAGCACTTCGGAACTATGAATATGGCAGCTCAGGGGGTGTGGTGTTTATTTTCCCAGAGAGTATTTCATTGCAGTGTATTCTGTCTCTTTACTCCATAAAGCAATTACAGACCTGCATGATTGTCTCCAAGCAAATGGATTAGACTTGCTCTTCCTTTCTTTCTAGGAGTCCTCTGTCCCTCTTCCCCTCTCCCTATCTCTTCCCCTTTCCACTCCTTTCTCATGTCTTCTTCTACTCTTGATCTCAGAAGAATGTTTTGGTTATAACCTGTCTTGTTTTGCCTCTCAGGTTCACTGCTGGCCTATAATACAACCTCCCACACAGACCAATCCTCACGACTGAGTGTCAAAGAAGGTAAGTTTGTTCTTTTGTGCACTTAAAATTTTCTTCTGTACTGGACATGACACCATCCCATGCTGTTAAGACTGTTGCAGAAAACCAGCTTGCTTGTTCCACTCAACATTTTCCTGCATACAAAGTCAAGAAGCCAAATATTTTTGCCATGGTGCTACCAATTGCAAAAGTCCAATAAGGTTCTATAGTATCTTGTAGTAATATCACAAGGATACAACTTGAGGTTGTCACTCCATGCAGGAAAACATGTTGCTTTTAGAATAAAATGGATGCCGCTTATTTTCAAAGCTGAAAGCTGAGAGTTTTCTCTGCTGAAAATAATGAAATGACAATTTCAAGGATTCCAGCATGTCTACATTTAAAGGTTTTTTTCCTTGAGAAATTTTAGCAGCCAGGCACAGGCTCACGCCTGTAATCCCAGCACTTTGGGAGGTGGAGGTGGATGGATCACTTGAAGTCAGGAGTTTGAACGAAGATCAACCTGGCCAACATGGCAAAACCCCCATTCCTGCTAAAAATACAAAAATTAGCTGGGTATGGTGGCAGGCACCTGTAATCCCAGCTACTCAGGAGGCTGAGACATGAGAATTGCTTGAACCCAGGAGGCAGAAGCTGCAATAAACCAAGATTGTGTCACTGCGCTCCAGCCTGGGTGACAGAGCGAGACTCTTATCTCAGAAAAAGAAAGAAAGAAAGAAAAAGAAATGTTAGCAATGGCATTCAGTTTTAAAGTGGTGGCTTAGGTCAGGTTGGGTTTGGTTTTGTTTGGTTGAGAAAGAAAGAAAACTGCCTCAGCAAATGATTTTTGCCAATGAAGATTTTAGTAACAATAACATTTCTCAGCATCTTTGTGAAATGTCATGAGGAGTGGTTCAGATACTGTGTTAGATTTCAGGAATTTAAACAAGTGAATAATTCACGGTACCTGGCTCAAAGGAGAAAAAATGTAAATAAATAGTGATTAGGAACCAGAGATAGACTGGAAAAAATATTTTCATGGTAAAGCAAAAATTCCACTGAGGAGGGGACTTCTGAATAGGAGCTTGAAGAATTGTAAGAGTATGGCAGGCAGTCTGTCCTCCTTGGCTCGCTCTCTGTCCCTAGTTTTTCTTTAACTCATCCTCCCCATAATACAGAAGGAAGGCAGCAGCTTTCAGGATCAGTTGCATATAGTACAGCACAGCATAACCTCTCAAAGGAACTTAAGGATCTTCTAAGGGAAGAGACCACTTGGCTCAAAATCCACATGGGGTATGAAGAAAACTGACCCAAAGACACTAGCCGGGTGTCTTGTCCAAGGTTACAACTTTGATCATATAGCACTTTCTGTTTCATTTTAACAATTTATAATTTAGTGATGACCGGAACATTTAGTGGAAGAATTATATAACATATCTGCCTTTAAACATTTGTGTTTTTCATTTGCTTCCTTCTCTCCTATCCCACCCTGAGCCAGTCATGTTTCTGCTACTGTTTTTCCTTTCCAAAACAGATTTATTGAATTTTGTCATGAAAACTGAATGTCTATGGATTCATTCTACGTTGAGTCACACTTCACTTGATGACCTATTTTAATATGCTGTTGCAGATGTCTATAAGAGAGAAAATATATTTTAGTGGCAAACGCATTAGATTGAAGGTCGGGGCACCCTTGGCTTACTGTGAAAAAATCATTTCATGCCCTGAACCTCAGTTTCCCATCAAATGAAGGGGAGGAACTCGGTCAGTCAGAGTCCAGCCCTGACTTTGGAGCTCTTGGCTTCCAAGGAGATGACAGGAGACACATTGCTGTGAGGGCTCAAGAGCCACTGTCTTTTATTTGTTTTACATATTGAGTTTTATTTCATTTGCAGATAGGGATCCACTTTTTGGAAGGAAGGAAAAAAGAAGGGGAAAAATGACTAGAGGGAGAGAGAGAGGGAGGGAAGGAAGGGAAGGGACGGAAGATAGGGAGGGAGGAAAGCAAGGATATAAGGAAGGGGAAACGGAAGGAAGGGAAGGAGGGAGGGAGGGATGGGAGGAGCCCTAACCTCTGAACTGCTGAATTTGGATTTTTGTAAGTTCCTCCAACTCTTCCAGGCTACAACCTGCTACCAACATCAGAATTAGCCAATGAGGCTCTGAGGCAGAGCTAATGAAGGATTTTCTGATATTGTGCTTCCGATACAGGTTTTAGTTTAGAAACTGGTTTATCCAAGTTGAAATGTATTGCTAACCAACTCCTTCCTCCTCCTCTACGGGTCTTATTGTTCAGCCCTGTCCTCTACCTGTCATACACATTTCCTTCCCGTGGCCCTTTTGTGTACAGAGAGTACCTTTGTAACACTGCTGGCTCATTCAGGCTTATTGCAGGAGCAGCTCCCTCTTGCTGGGTAGCAGCCCCTCTTCTGAAATGAATTAGCTGCAGTATCCAGGCAAACGCACGCTGCCAGGATTTCATTCAGGTGGTGCCGACATTTATCTCCCAGCATCGGGCCTGGCCTCTAGAGACGATTAAGCCTGCGCTTTGCAGGTGCATCTTTTGTCCCCAGTAAAGCTCTCCACTTGAGCTGTCTTGCTCCTCTATGCCTTTCCCTTGTGAGGTGGTCTGAATCTGTCTGAACGACCCCTCAAGCCACAGAATAAAGCACATTAGCAAGACAAAGCTAACCAAGCCCTCCCCCCCTGCCTCCTCCCCACCTCTCACTGGCTCTCCTGCTTCGCTCTAATCACTGTCTGTTGGCTATTAGAAGACATCAGGCAACCTTGGCTGCATCTTCTTTGAATGAGACACACACAGCCCCAAACAAACCCAGAGTTCATCAAGAGCACCAGAGCTCTGTGTGTGTGTGTGTGTGTGTGTGTGTGTGTGTGTGTGAGTGCACATTGGTGCAGTCCACAAAGCGCAGGTGCCGGCATCAAGCACAAAGCAAGGAAGTTGAGATTCTGTCTATTAATGTGTCTTTAAAGCACTTATCAAATTAAAAAGGGTTTTTGCTTTAAAATTGTATAGTCACCCTTCCAGCTTGTCTTTTGAAAATGGCTGCAATCTCTAGGGGTTATTTGTGCCCAGGAAGTAAGACTAGATTTCAAAAATTAATTTAGAATAATCTTTAAGCCCCTTTAAATGAAGTATTCCATGGACATGGATTGGATTCAGCTAGCATGGTTGTGCTCTCTCTACCTTTAGTTTATCAAGGCTAATGCACTTAAAAAAAATTAGGATAAAAGCTATTGTTATCCATTTACAATAGCGGCAGATCTGTCATCTAGAAAGCGTTTTAGACTATATCAGACACTTTCACATGCTTTGTTTGGAGCCTTGCACTGGGTCTTTGAATTAGATATTATTATCTCTATTTTGCAGAAAAAGGCAGTGTGGTTCAGCCCTATTAAGTGACTCACTGAAGGGTACACAGCTACTCAATGGCAGAGCAAGGACTCAAACCAGGTCAGAGGATTAGACTAAAAGCCCCTCACTTTCTGACAAATATGGCCTTTCCCTTCCAGCTGCCTTTCTGCAAAAGCAATACCTAGCCTAAATGTAATATGGGCAAAGATGTGAATGTTTTGCATTACTTGATTTCTGTCCATGCAGTTTTCCCACTGTCAGCTCCATCTTCGTTCCTCAACTCTTCTCTTTTTCCAGAGATGAACCGATACACAACTTACGCTTGGTATCAGCCCTTAGTTCTGACAGCACAGAGCATCACCTGGACATCTTTTAAAATACTGACTCTAGGACAAATATTACAGGACTCCACTTGTAGGAAGTAAATTGGTCAAGTTTATAGAGCCAGAAAGTCGATGGTGGTTACTGGGAGGGGCAGGGAGTGGAAATGGGGAGTTAGTTTTTAGTGGGTAAGAATTTCAGTTTGGGAAGATGAAAAAGTTCTGGAGATGGATGGTGGGGATCATTGCACAGCATTGTGAATGTACTTAGTGCCACTAAGTTGTACACTTAAAATGATTAAAATGATAAATTTTATGTTATATATTTTACTAAAATTTTTTAAATGCAAAAATTAAAATAAAAAAAAATACTGATGCCCAAATGCCAAAAAATGACCCGTTAATTCAGAATCTCCAGGGGTGAGTCCTGGGCATTGGAAATGGTTTAAAGCTCTCCAGGTTATTTCTGTAAGCCAAGCTAGAGAAGCCTGCTTTATAGAACAGAGATGAGCTAGAGAGAAATGAAATCCATGTTAGAGCTACTCCAGATTTTCTGGGAGATACACTGGGCAGTTGTCTGGCCCCAAATTGTCCTAGAAAAGGAAGAGCAGGCCCTACTGGTATATTGATAAAGGTGTAGGTAAGTGAAGAGACTGTCAATCTTGATTAGTTTTTCATCATTGTCATTGATGACAGATATTATTGATGAGTGATGTTACTGATTTTGACAACTGTACATTAGTACATCTCAGAAATTTCTTTCTAACATGTCTTCATTCACCCCTCTGAAAAGTAGATACGGTGTTGGTAACGTGATTTTACAGGGCGGACACAGGGATTGTAGAAGCTAAGGGGCCTTTTCAAGTATGTGAGAGTCCTGGAGCCAGGGCTACTGACTTTCCACACCTTGTTCTCTCCAGTCCTCCAGGCTGCAGATGTGCCTGTGTCTGCCCTGGTCCCAGATCAGAGCTTTAGTGTGTTTTTCTGGGCAAACCCTGCCGGAGGCCTTCCCAGCACACTCAGCTGGCCCAGCAGCGTGCAAGAATCAGCACATCTCCTCCTCAGAGCTGCTTTGCATGCCTAAGCCCTCATTTCCTTAGTTCCTCTGCTGAATCTGTTTAAATACCTCTGACTCTCCAAAAGACAGAGGATATTGAGTTCCTTGTTTATTAACTCCTGGAACTCATCAACCCGCCAAGGGCCTGTGGAGCATTGAGCTTCAAGCCCCAGCCAGGGAGCCTTTCAGGACTGCCATTGAACGTGGAAACCGAAAACTACGGCCCCGCTGCAGGCAGAATGGCCATCTCCAGCCATTGCCTTGGCTAATGGATAAAAAATCTGTCTGCTTG